CTCCCTGAGTCGAGGGTACTCAAGGCGAAAGGGAGTAGAACTGTGTGCTAATCTGTCGTCGTCTGGTGAGTAAGCTTTGTGAATTTTTTTTATTTCTTCTTCTTTGGTTAACGGAGGCGCTAAGTCCCCCGCTCTTCCAGTCCCTCACTCCTTGAGACACGTGTAATGAGGTGAAAAGGAGTAGAGTAATGCATGTCTTCAACAGGGGGCCGAGGGTCGACACCTTTTGATCCACAATGGGGAGATGCCTCGTTAAAAACCTCATTAGGAAAAACCCATTGGGAAAATATCCTAATGAGGGAAAAAGAGTACACCGGATGCCCCCAAAATGAAGCAAAAGGGGCGAGCCCTTCGGCCTAGGTGTGGAGCTGCACTGGTGTCCGTCTGTTGAGGGATGGCCAAGATTAGCCTAGCCTCTACATGTGAGTAGCTCGGCATGATAAGTAACCTCAGCCATCAAATAAAGATGACTAAGAGATATGTTGAGTGGCCTTCCATAATGTGATGTCCAGGTCATCAAATAAAGATGACTAACATATGTATGACCATGGGGCCTGTATGAGATCCACGTCATCAAATAAAGATGATGGGTCGATATATGGCCGATGGGCCTATATGCGAACTCCACGCCATCAAATAAAGACGACGAGGCGATGTATGGCCGAGGGGCCTGTATGAGAGCTCCACGTCATCAAATAAAGATGACGGAGCTATGTATGGCTGATGAGTCCGTAAATGAGCTTCACGTCATTAAATAAAGATGATGAAGTGATACATGGCCGATGGGCCCGTAAATGAGCTTCACGTCATCAAATAAAGATGACAAAGCGATATATGGCCGATGAGCCTGTAAATGAACTTCGCGTCATCAAATAAAGATGACGGAGCGATATGTGGCCGATGGGCCCGTAAATGAGCTTCGCGTCATCAAATAAAGATGACAGAGCGATATGTGGCCGATGGGCCTGTAAATGGGCTTCGCGTCATCAAATAAAGATGACAGAGCGATATGTGGCCGATGGGCCTGTAAATGAGCTCCACATCATCAAATAAAGATGACAGAGCGATATGTGGCCGATGGGCCTGTAAATGAGCTTCATGTCATCAAATAAAGATGACAGAACGATATGTGGCCAATTGGGCCTGTGGCTGAACTCTGGGCTCCTTTAGCCTTTCTACCAGAGACCGCAAGATGTTCGCTATATCTGAATATGAGGACGAGGCGGTGTACGCCTCTCTGAATATGAGGACGACGACGCTGAGGAGCCGGTCTGAATATGAGGACGATGCGATGATAAGCCGTTCGTCATATAGGGGCGACGGTCACCAATCCGGGAAAGGAGTAACGAGCCCGGTCACCATAACAAGACTTCGGCGCTGGTAGCCGGTCTTGAGGTAGATAATGACACCGAGGCTGAGAGGCTAATCGTGATGTGCGGACGACGATGCTGAGAAGGCGATCCGATAATATGATGATGGGGCAATGATGAGCCGACCGTCATATAACGGCGACAGTAACCATCCAGGAAGGGATGGCGAGCCCGATCGCTAGCTCAAGACTCTCGACTCTGAGGAAGCCGGTCTTGAGATAGATAATCACGCCGAGGCCGAGGGGCCGGTCGTGATGTGCAGATGGTGATGATGAAGAGTCGGTCCGATAATATGATGACAAGGCGATGATGAGCTGATCATCATATAAAGGCGACAGTCACCATCCAGGTAGGGATGGTGAGCCCGATCGCTAAATCAAGCCTCATGGCTCTGAGGAAGCCGGTCTTGGGATAGATAATCACGCCGAGGCCGAGGGGCTGGTCGTGATGTGAGGAAGACGACGATGAGGAGGTGGTCCTATAATATGATAACATGGCGATGATGAGGCGACCGTCATATAGTGGTGATGGTCACCATCTAGGAAGGGACGACGAGCCCGATCGCTAGCTCAAGACTCTCGGCGCTGAGGAAGCTGATCTTAAGATAGATAATCACGCTGAGGGGCCGATCGTGATGTGCGGATGGCGATGCTGAGAAGCCGATCCGATAATATGATGACGAGGCGATGATGAGCCGATCATCATATAAAGGCGATGGTCACCATCCAGGAAGGGAATGGCGAGCCCAGTCGCTAGATAAAGACTTCGGCGCTGGGGCTGGGAGCCAGTCTCAAGACTCCGTCATATAGAGACGATGATCACCATCCAGGAAGGGATGGCAAGCCCAATCGCTATAACAAGACTTCGGCGCTGGGAGCCGGTCTTGAGATAAATAATCACATCGAGGCCGAGAGGCCGATCGTGATGTGCGGACGACGATGATGAGTAGCCGGTCCGATAATATGATCACGGGGCGATGATGAGTCCGCCGTCATATAGGTGCGATGGTGCCCATCTTGGAAGGGATGGAGAGCCCGATCGCTAGCTCAAAACTCTCGGCGCTGAGGAAGCCGGTCTTGAGATAGAGCATCACGCCATAGCTGAGGGGCTGGTCGTGATGCGAGGACGGCGGTGATGATGAGGAGCCGGTCCGATAATATGATGACGTGGCGATGATGAGCCGGCCGTCATATAGGGGCGATGGTCCCCATCCTGGAAGGGATGGAGAGCCCGATCGCTAGTTCAAGACTCTCGGCGCTGAGGAAGCCGGTCTTGAGATAGAGCATCACGCCATAGCCAAGAGGCTGGTCGTAATGCGAGGACGACGGCGATGAGGAGCCAGTCCTATAAAATGATGATGGGGCGATGATGAGCCGACCGTCATATAGTGGTGATGGTCACCATCCAAGAAGGGATGACGAGCCCGATCGCTAGCTCAAGACTCTCGACATTGAGAAAGTCGGTCTTAAGATAGAGCGTCACGCCATAGCTGAGGGGCTGGTCGTGATGCGAGGACGTCAGCACTGGGAGGCCGATCCAAAACATTACCCTGCCATAAGGTTATGTGTTTCCAATGCCAATAAAAAGTAAGCCAACCAATAGTATTTAACATCCAAAAATCTGCCAAATAAAATGCATCACATGCCGAAATATCACAAGTAAGTCCATGCAGCGGTCCTTATCCATAAAGTGAGAGGATGGGGCCGGTCTTCAGAGTATGATGATCACGTTGAGACCGAGGGGTCTGCCGTGTCGATATAAAAGATCACGTTGAGACCGAGGGGTCTGCCGCGATGTGAGGATGACGGCGATGATGAGCCGTTCCAATAAATGATGACGAGGCGATTGTCATATAAAGCGACAGTCACAATCCAGGAAGGGATGGTGAGCCCGATCGCTAGCTCAAGACTCTCGACGCTGAGGAAGCCGGTCTTGAGATTGGTAATCACACCGAGGCTGAGGGGCCGGTCGTGATGTGAGGATGACGGCGATGAGGAGCCGGTCCTATAATATGATGACGTGGCGATGATGAGGCGACCGTCATATAAAGGTGATGGTCACCATCTAGGAAGGTACGACGAGCCCGATCGCTAGCTCAAGACTCTCGGCACTGAGGAAGCCGGTCTTGAGATAGATAATCACGTCGAGGCCGAGGGGCCGGTCGTGATGTGATGAAAGGCAAGGCGTTGACGCCGGACTGAACATGAAGGGCGGTGGAGTTGGTCCGATGATGGACTAGGTTTGGACGCTCGTCTGAAGATGAGGGACGGTGCTGGACGCTCGTCTGAAGATGAGGGACGGCGGTGGGCGCTCGTCTGAAGATGAGGGATGGTGCTGGGCGCTCGTCTTAAGACGAGGGACGACACTAAGCGCTCGTCTGAAGATGAGGGACGGCGCTGAGCGCTCGTCTGAAGATGAGGGAAGGCGCTGGGCGCTCATCTGATCCGCATGTATGGTCTTGTTTCGTCCATAATGCATAGTATTTGCCTGATATGTACTTAGCCAAATATGTGACTTGATTTGTGGGGATTTTATTTTTATCGCTCGAGGCCGGCAAGTGCGTGGTCCTCGGCTTCCCTCTTTTGATTTGTGGGGATTTCGCTTGAGGCCGGCGAGTGCTCGATCCTCGATGCCCCTCTTTTGATTTGTGGGGATTTTGCTCGAGGCCGAGGAGTGCACGGTCCTCGACTGTCCCTCTTTTTTGACTTCCTCTTTACTTCTTTAAGCGAGGAGTGGGATCCTTCTTTCAGGCTTCGGCCGAGGGGGTTGCTATTCCCTTGGCCGGTAGGGAGTCCAGGAGGGTAGTCAGTAATCTGGCGCTGGCTCGTCCCTTGATCTTGGGGGGGTCCCGTCGTCTATTTACGACGCGGGCTCAGGCTTTTGATCGGTTGCCGATGGCTGCCGTTTCCCAACCCCAAGTTTGGGGATTTTTGTCATCTCGGCCATGCTTTGAGGCCTGTCGTCCTGCGATTTAGCGCGAGGACGACACAATGAGCTTCCCATTTCAAGACGTGGGCTGTTTGCGGGCCCCTCGTCATTGGACACCGTCGGCCATGCCTGAGCGTTTTGCTCTAAGGGGCTGAGACGATGTGTTGTGTTGTGTGACATCCTTTACTTAAATTTACAAAATAAGAGGAACATAATAGGTGCGTTATTCATGGCAACGGCTGTTGGGCGACGCGATTAGCGTCTCAGAGAATGAGGTGTATCATTTACCGCTTTTAGGCATAATGCCATATGCGGCCGATAGCGGCTCTCATTTTTAGATGCCCGAGTCACCAAATAAAGGTGACTAGGGTAGGTCGATGGACCTAAATACAATCTGAATCATCAAATAAAGACGTTCGGTAGACTAGAGCTCAGATTCACCACTCTGGGGATTTTATCCGGCTAGAAGGTAATGACAATTATAACAGTATTAAAACTATTTGGCTCCATATTTAATGTATAAGTAGGAGAAAAATTTGTGGCACTTAGCTTATATTTGGGCTAAAGCCTATGTTCTTTAGAGTTCTTTAGAATTCCAGCCTGCTCGAAAGATAATGTGGAAATTACTTGAGCAGTCGACTTTTAGGTGTGACATATCCTTTATAGCCCAACTATTTTAACTTTTCGATTTTCAGTTTTGATTTTTTATTTCATCTTTAGACCATTTTGCCAACCTCTCTTCGTAACCGTACTAGAGTTATATGTGGAGAGAGAACGCCATATTTTCTATCAGCCATCCAACTTTCTTCTGAGGGATCGACTTCCAACTCTCTTGTGAGGGAAGGGATCCTCTGGTCGTTATTAAACACCGGAGTTGTGTTCGGATTCTTTGTTCCAGCACCATCGGGTAGCCAGGCGATCGATTTTGTGGTCTCCAGGATTGGAACAGAGATTACTGTAGATCGATTTCGTTGAATTAACCGTCCACATGTCCAGACCTGCTGCCACTCACACCTGTCTGTGTTCTACACTTCGCCGGAAATCTCGAATCGGCTGATTCACCGGAAAGCTCTGAGTCCCGCCCTGCGCGGCTGCGCCATCCAGCCTCTCCCTGCCTGCTGACTGAATCGTGGTCTTCTCAATTTCTGGTATGTATTTTACTTTTAGCTTTATTTATGCTGTATTTTATTTAGTTCAGCTTTATGCCTTTATATCTGGAATATGAGAGTTTGTTGTTGATATATGTGGATTCAGAAAGATTGCTCCCTAGATTTTTGGAATTTAATTGTTGTGAACTTCCAAGCTGTTGTGAATTGAAGGGCAGAAATTGCAATTTTAGATGGAAACTTTATCTCACAAGTATTACCTTTCTCTGAAGGATTAGTAGACAGTAGAAATACTGGGGAGGAGATATTAAGCATTCTGAAAGTCATAAAAATGAGGAAATCCTATTTTAACAAAAGCGAAAGAAATACCCCATTCCACAAGCTTTGATTAATGATTTTAATTTTTCTACAGGTTCTCCATATCCAGCTGGTGAACCAACTTTCTTCTGCATTTTGGAAGGATAGTGTTTTAAGATTAAATATAAATGTTAAATGGAGTAAAACATATGTCAAAAGTACACAAACCTTTGCGGATCTTGAAGCAGTCGATGTTGAAGACTGATGATCTTCAGAGTCACTCTTATTCCTTTCTTCTGATACCTTATTTCCAGATGGCTTCTTAATTCATAGCGATTCACAACCTTTCCCTCTTTATTAACAAGGAATTTAGTTAAATTTCACTTGATATCTTTGCCAAAATGTCCACCTTTCATTGGCTTCAAAAACTCGTAAAGTGGAGCAGCACCCTTACCATTAACATCAAGAGGATGATGGTGCTGCTAATATGTTATTGCCCTCATTGCATAGTTTTATCTTATTTTGTTTACTTCATTTATTTCTTTCTGAACTATTTTAAAAAATATAGTGTATATTTCGAATACTACCACAATTGAATGTTCCAAGGTCTACTCAATTATGTTATAAGTTTGTTTGATTATACTAAGGATGTCATAAGACAAAACTAATGGGAAGGGCCCTTGAATAAGTTTGATTTAATGTCTTGTGGATAGTGTAAGTCAAGGGTTATTAGTTGTGGTCTAGCTAAATCATTCCTAACTTTGAAACACTAGCTTCAAGCTGCAGTTCTCCTAAAACTTGCAGCCAATTTAATAACCTGCACATCAGATGTGCTTCTCTATTTTGTGCTCTGTTTTTTATATACTACAGTACTACTTATTGGATATTATTATATGCTGTTTTCATTTTCTTTTGTCTTCTTTTTTTTTTGTTGCGTTTTGTTGTTTTTAATTTGCATCTTTTTGTTGCATCGTGTTTCTTTTTGTTGCTTTTTGTTATTTTTTGTTATTTTTAAATTGTTGGTTTTTGTTGCATGGTATTTCTTTTTGTTGCATATTGTTACGTTTTGTTGCAATATGTTTCTTATTTTTTGTTTTGATGTTTATCATTTATTTAGATTTCTATTCACTTCCTGGGTATAAAAAATGTATACACGCACACACACACGCACCTAAATCATTAATTTGGGTTTATGAATATAATAACCAACAACTCAAAACATGATGTAATAGATAAATGTAATGAATTGAAATAATGGATTAATTGTGTATTATTGTGATAGTTCTATATGTTGTTTTTTTGTTTCTTTTTGTTGTATCACACATGTTTTTTGTTTCTTTTTGTTGTATCACACATGTTGTTTTTTTGTTTCCTTTTGTTGTATCACACATGTTATTTTTTGTTTCATCTTGTTGTATCACACATGTTTTTTGTTTCATCTTGTTGCTTTTTGTTGCATCTTGTTGTTCTTTATTGCATTTGTTGTTTTTTGTTGCATCGTGCTACTTATTATTCTTTATTATTGATTTTAAATATTTATTTAGGAATATAGTTATCTCAGTTACTTCTTCAGTGAAAACCCCCATAATTCCATATGTATATTGATGGATAGTCTACCCGGGGGTATATATCCGAAGGGTTATTACGGGGAATAACTTAGAGAGAAGTCAGAGCAAGTAAATATATATAGAGAGAGTGTACTACAAATGTGGAGCGTTTTCAGCGTGGTTACAAATGGGGAAATGGGGTGCTATTTATAGCAGCAATAAATGCCGGGCAGGGACACGTGTCAAGCGCTCATTGGCCGAGGGGTCACCTCAACTGGTTGGCGCTGGCAGCCGCATGTGGCCGCATTTAATGCGGCTGTTGGATGGGACGTCTGTGCAGAGTACGGTGATCTGTACGCATGTGAGGCGGATATCTTGTCGAGTGAGATGCCTTCGGCCATAGAGCAGTAGCCGAAGGCTCTTCCACCCGAGGGCACCTTGGTGCCGAGGGCTCACAGTACCGAGGGCTACTGTTTTCGCCATTTTCTCCCAGTTTCTTAGTTTGCTTGAGAAACCCGTTCTGTGAGAATTTGGAGCCTTCGGCCAGGGGGCCGAAGGCACCCCTGTGCGTTGTGCGGACTGCTTGGTACTCCGGGCGCTGTGAATTGGGCCTGTTGGGCCTTTTGGGCCTGTTGGGCCTTTGCTGGAGTAGTAGGAGTCCGTGGGCCGGGGGTTCCCGGGCCATATACTCCATCAGGAGTCCCTCACTCCTTTTGCCGAAAGGTACTTGAGGGAAAAGGAGTAATTTGTGCTTGCCCTATGATGTTGTCCCGTTGTGATCCCTGAAGTTGGTGAGGAGTTGTTGCTTTTATGTCCCTGCCGAAGGCAGTCCCTCAGTTACCCACATGTCGGGACTTGAGGGCTTGCTTTGTTGTTTGTTGGAATTTCACAGATTTTGTAATTTAATGATTTTCCCGAAGGGGTCCTCCAGTCCCCCACTCCTTGAGGCACTTGTAAAGTGGTGAAAAGGAGTAAAGTAGTTACGTTGCTGTTGTGGGCCGAAGGCTGACGCTTTTCGTTTCATTTTGGGGGGATGCCTCGTTAAAAACCTCATTAGGAAAAACCCTTTGGGAAAAAATCCTAATGAGGGAAAACGAGTGCACCGAATTCCCCCAATGATGAATCGAAAATGTCAAACCTCGGTAAAAAATGAAGAATGGCGGGAATGCCGAAGGCTCTCTCTTCTGAGGGCTCCTGTGTTGATTAGCCGAAGGCTGGCGGTTGATGTCCTGGTGGCGCCGAAGGGGAACCCCTCAATCCAGGGATCGAGGGCCTGCCAGATGAGGGCCGCAGTGAAGCTGTTACCGGGGGGTCCACTGTTTGTTGATGAGGTGGTGATTAAGATACCCGAGGGTCATGGGCCATCCGTCAATGAGGCACTCCCCGGGGGCTACCCGGTTTTGCGGTGCTGAGGGGAAAACCCCGAGGGGTACCCTGATATGCAGCCCTAGGGACCTGAAGGAGTGATCCCGAAGGCGTGTGTAATGTGCGGTGTGGGGCACAACCCGGGGGCACTTCTGGGTGAGTGCACCCGGAGGCTATCCTTGATGAAGTGGAGTGAAGTAGAAAATCCGGGGGTTCCCAAAATATAGCCGTTGAAAATATAGCCGTTGGAATATGTAACGACAGGATATAGCCGTTGGGGGGGGGGGGGGGGGGGGGTGGCACACGTGGCGTGTGAAGGCTGGTTGTCCGTGGGCGGCGTCACCGGTTGGGTGAAACGGCGGTGTGTAATGATGGCGTCCATCCGGAGGCCCGGAATCCAGGCCCAAGCCCGGATTCATCGCCTATAAATACCCCAAGGCCAGGCATTCCTCCGTGTGCGATAAACTTGTTAGCGAAGCTCTGTCAATTTTTCTAGAGAGAAAGTTCAGCCTTCGGTCAAAACTCAGCTTTCGAGGTCAGTGCTCCCTGCCTTTCTCCTTCTAGCATAGCTGTACTGTGCCCTTAGTTTAGGAGATAGAATTCACTAGGAACCTTAGTTCCCCCGAACCCTCGAGCTAGAGTGTAGAATGTCGTCCAGAGTGACTCTCAGGACATCTCGAGGACGCCCTCGATGGAGGACGAAGGCATCTCCGACGTGGAGTCCAGCAGCAGTCAGCCCTCGGATGGTGGAGACGTGGCCCTCGCCACTGAGGTGCAGAAGGATCTGACGGCCGAGGCCGAGGCGGAGGAATTCGAGCGGACCGCGGAAGATGAGGAGTTAGCCCTCGCCGTCCAGGTTGCTGAGGAGGAAGAAGAAAAGGAGAGGGCGAAGGTCACTGTGGCCGTCCTTCCCCCTCGGGGTGCTGGTGAGGCCAGTACCTCCCAGCCGCTGAATGCAGTTCCCATCCGGGTGGCCCCCGGGAAGAAGAAGAGGAAGACGAAGGCCGGCCCCCAGAAGAAAGTAAGGGCCGTCGATCAAGGGGGGCCAGTAGATCTGCCGGAGGGTTACTCCTTCCTGGACACCGCCGCTCTGGAGATAAAGTCCCAAGCTGACAGGGCGGATATCTACATCACCCAGTTGCACGTAGGTCCCTCGGCCGTAGTAGTCGAGCCGGGTCCTGATGACGTGCTGTCGCGCCCCCCCGAGGGATGTATAGCCGTGCACGTGCTCTCGGTCTCGATGGGCCTCCGGTTCCCTCTTCATCCGTTCCTCCGGGAGTACTTGAGGTACACCGGCCTGGTTCCCTGCCAACTGACCCCCAACAGCCACTCGTACATAACTGGGTTCGTGAACCTGTGCAAACTCCGGGGGGTTACACCGAGCTTGGAGCTATTCTTCCAAAGCTTCAACCTATGCCGGGGGGGCCATACCAATGCCGAGGGCTATGCGAACTTACAGCAGATAGCCCAGTTCAAATTGTTCACCGAGGCCCCTTCTTCCAACAAGGGGTGGAGAGAGCGATGGTGCTACATCAGACTGGCCGACAGCCCTTTCCCGAGGGAGTTGCGGAATTGCTTCCGGCGTCATGTGAAGGTCAAGAGCGCCGCCCTCGAGAAGGATGGCCTGAAGATTGCCGAGATTCCGGAGGGGCGGGATAAGAACATAACCATCAAGGAGTGCACCCTCGAGAAAGACCTGTATGCCCTCGGATTCCTGAGGTATCGGTTCATTGGGGAGACCGAGGAGAAGTATCCCCTCTATGATAAAGCCTTCGTGGGGGCAGGAGGTAGTGGCCGGGGGCTTTACATTTTTGTACTTTGAGATTTTCTGTCATGTTTGTTGTCGTGTCTCGAACCCCTCGGTGCTAACATTTTAACTTGTTGTTTCTTTGCAGGTAGCAGGATGAATGCCAACGCTCTGTTCGCAAAGAGGAAGGGCAAGACCCAGTCCAAGGAGAAGGGGCCCTCGGGCCAGAAGCCAGTCGACGCGCTTTTCCCGAAGGTCATAGAACCTTCCGCCGGGGACTCCCATGCTGCTGTGGGGACGGGGGGGTCGAAGGCCGAGGCGGCCGCCAAGAAGAAGAGGGGCGACAAGGGGGTGGAGCCCCCCACCAAGAAACAGAAAGGCGCCGTGGGGGCTGTCGGGGGGGCGGCCTCCCTCGTAATTATTGATGACATGCCCGCTGTTGATGGGCCTCTAGCCTCGGTCTCTCCGAAGGATCCGGTGAATCCCCCCCGGGAGATCCGTCAGCTCTCCTTTGCCCCCGGCGCTTCGTTGATGCACGGCACTGCCGAGCCGAAGGCCTTCCTGCGGGGCATCACCTCGAAGATGGACAAGGAAGTCTTCGAGACCTACGATGACGATGCCCTCGAGAACAGGATCCTCCGCTCCTCGCTCACTGTAAGTATCCGCTTCCTTTTTCCTTATCTTGTCAGTGTAGTCTTATTTTTTCCTGAGGAACAATCTAACTCCTTTGATAATTGTTCGCAGGCCTGCATAGCCCTCGGGGAACAGGCCCGGAGGCGCGAGGAAAGGCGTCTTCACGAGGCCGCCCAGGATAAGAAGGTGGAGGGGCTGATCCGTAAGAACTCCGAGGCGGTGAAGCATGCTGCCCAGCTGGAGGAGGCCCTTCGGGAGGCGAAGGCGGCGGCGGAGAAAGCCAAGGCTGATGGTATAGCCGAAGGCAAGGCAGAGGCCGAGAGGGCTGCTGCCGAGGCGGCGAAGAAAGCCGCCGATGAAGCCCGAACTGCTAAGGAGAGAGCTGCGGCCGAGGCCCGAGGGGAGGCAGTTGCGGAGTTCCTTGCTGAGGGCTGGAGGGCCGAGGGCCATAAGGAGTGGGTTGCCTCCGTGGTGGCAGCCTCGGTGGACGCTTGGGTAGAAGGCCCCGGGGTTGACTGGCTGACCGATAGGGGCGACGCCTACTATCAGGGGGTGAGTTTTTTACCCAGCACCTGATATACCGGAGGCTCGCCAGGCACTTCGGTGTATCTCTCGAACAATTTGACCCCTCGGTATACGGCCTCCCTCCGTTGCAACCAGATGTCAGAGTTCCCCTCCCCCCGGGTGAAGAGCGGCCAACAATCTATGATTCTGTGATGATGGGGGGTGACGGGGTTGGAGCCGTCGGGGGTGATGCTGCCGGAGAAGAAGTCTCCTCCAAGGCTGTCGTGGAGGATGCCCCCGGTGACAACGAGGCTGAAGCTGCCGAGAAGATTATTACTTAGTCAATTTTTTTTTAAAAAAGCCTTGTAATGAAACTTTTGTTGCCCCTCGGCTTTGGCCACACTCTGTAATGATCACATTGACTATTTTTGTGTTGTAATTGAATGATTGCCTTCGGGCTTGGTGTATGTGATATGCTTCCTTCTGATCTCTTCATTGTTGAATGTATGCCTTCGTCTTTGTTTTGAATGTATGTCTTGTTCCTTTGAATGTATGTATTAGGACTTAGGATACCATCTGATTGTAGCTAGCCCTTGGGAGCCTTCGGTAGTTGGGCACCCTCCGCTGGATATGCAACCGAGGGTTCAGCAGCAATTAGGACTTAGAAAATTTTTCTAAGTGTAGATTTCTAAGTGTAGATTTCTAATTGTAGATTTCCCCTTGAGAGCCTTCGGGATATGGCCTCCCTTCCTGATGTGTGAATGTTGGACCGGGGGCCCAATGCACAGGACTTAGAGATTTTCGCAAGTGTAGTACGCCATGTAGCCTTCGGCTACTGTGGAGCCCCACCTGTAATATTGAATAGGCCGCGGGCTAATTCTTTTAGGACTTAGAAGATTTTCTTGAGTGTTGATTCCTTGTGAACTGTAGCCCTCGATTGATAGGTAGCCTTCGGCAATTAGGTCCCTTGAGATGAGGGTGAAACATGTAGGACTTAGAAAATCTTCTAAGTGTAGAGTTTCCGTCGAGAGCCTTCGGGAGGTGTCATACCTCCATGATGTATGAGTAGCTGACCGGGGGGAAAGCATGTAGGGCTTAGAAAATATTCTAAGTGTAAAGTCTCCCTTGGGAGCCTTCGGGAGATGGCATCCCTTCTTGATGTATGAGTAGTTGACCGGGGAAAACATGTAGGACTTAGAAAATATTCTAAGTGTAAAATCCCCCTTGGGAGCCTTCGGTAGATGGCATCCCTCCCTGATGTAAGAGTAGTTGACCGGGGGGGAAATACATGTAGGACTTAGAAAATATTCTAAGTGTAAAATCCCCCTTGGGAGCCTTCGGTAGATGGCATCCCCCCCTGATGTAAGAGTAGTTGACCGGGGGGGAAATACATGTAGGACTTAGAAAATACTCTAAGTGTAAAATCCCCCTTGGGAGCCTTCGGTAGATGGGTGCCCTCTGATTCCACATCACTTTGCGAGACGTCCGGGGGCTACTTATTTAGGACAGAATACCCTCTTTTTTTTAAGTGTTGTTGTATTGCATGGCCTTCGGCCACCATATTCCCTTGGCTGTAATATTGATTGGGCCGGGGGCTCCACCTTTAGGACTTAGAATTTTTTCAAGTGCTGCTTCCCTGTGTAGTCTTCGGGTGCCCGGGGGCTGCTCCATCAGGGCTTAGAATTTTTTCTAAGCATAAATTGATGTTGAATCCTGTTGTCGTGAAGAAAGCCAATGAGGAGTGCGTGCCCTCGGCATACACTCTAAAAGTCGTAGAATTTGATCCTTGTCATGGGGAAAGGGCCCTCGGTATTTGTGCATAACGGATGCCTTCGGTGTTTGTTTGAAGTACCGTTTAGTGGACCTTGGACAGTCCAGTCCCTTTGTGTTGTTGAAGCCTTCGGTGTCTTTGTGACCGGAGGTGACCAGGTAGTGGACTTAGCCGTTTCCTGATGATATTTCCTTGAGTAGTATCCTTCGGGAAATAGGAGTCTTCAATTGCCGGAGGTGTTCCCGTGGGGAGCCCTCGGCATGTTGTGATTTTGTTGAAGTGTACTCTTTGATTTCTCGCTGAGTCTACTCCCCTTCACCCTTTTTTTTTTTTTTTGGTTGGTGGTGAAGGGAAGGCATCAAGAAACTTGGTTTCTTGGTAAGGCTGAGCCTATTAGGAGACCATCAGAATACACCAATGGCTCTCCTCCCTCGGGTTAACCTTCCGAGTGTCGAGGGGATCGAGGGACGTTTCCTGGGCACAAGATATGGTGGTCCGTAACCTGCCTCCCCTTGGGGGATGGCGCGGAAAGCGCCTCATTTTTGAAAGTCGTCCCCTCGGCGCTAGACATAGTCTGTGGCCTGCCACACCCTTGGGGTGTTGGCGCGGGGAGCGTTTCGGTTTGGAAGTCGAATCCTGGGCATTTCTCATGCCTGTCATACCCTGGGGGTAATGACGCGGATAGCGTTCCGTTTTTGAAAGTCGAATCCTGGGCATTTCTCATGCCTGTCATACCCTGGGGGTAGTGACGCGGAAAGCGTTTCAAGGAAGGGTTTTCATTTGCACACTAGTTGCAAATGGCCGGGGGCACTACGTGCCGCCGACACCGATGGTGGCGCCTTCGGTATATGCGTCCTCGTGGGGTATGGCTTTTAGAAACAACACTTGGTGTTAGTTTCGATGTGTAGCCCCCTGTACTTGGTACCGAGGGGTCTTCTGTAGGAACACTTGGTGTTCTCTTTTGTTGTAGTTGATGTAGGCGTCTACCCTCGGTACTTGGTACCGAAGGGTCTTCAAATGAAACACTTGGTGTTTCCCAATAGATGTTTGGAAGCTGTCAGGAGAGCATATCCCTGGCACTGGGTGCCGAGGGGTCTTCTTTGAAACACTTGGTGTTTTTCCTTCGTTTCGATATTTGATGAGGGAGGTGTACCCTCGGCACTGGGTGCCGAAGGGTCTTCTGTAGGAACACTTGGTGTTCTAATCTTTCCTTTTTTGATGTTGAAGGTGGGGAAGTACCCTCGGTACTGGGTGCCAAGGGGTCTTGACTGAAAACACGTGGTGTTTCTACTGTTTGTTGTAGGTGTTGATGGTGTCCGCCCTCGGCACTGGGTACCGGAGGGGGTTCTTCTTGTGGTGAGGCCTGGGGCCTGTAGTCAGTATGAGGGCTTGATGTCTTGAATGTATCTTCATTCTTCGAAATTGGAGGCCTTGGGCCATTGGATAGTACATTCACTAGTTATGAGGGCTTGGCCGCTCTTACATTATTGATAAAATTTAACTAAATGGTGTACATTCCAGTGCCTAGGGACCTCTTTCCCGTTGGGACGTTTGAGTTTGTAAGTCCCGGGTTTGATGATGGCTGCTATGATGTAGGGGCCTTCGAATTTTGGTGCCATTTTTCCTCCCTCGGTCGGTTGGCTGGCTTCCCTCCTCCGGAGGACATAGTCCCCCACTTGAAATTCCCGGGTCCGAACTTTGGCGTCGATGTAGCTTTTAACTTGCCTTCGGTAGTTTTCTGCCTGGATGAAGGCCTGCTCCCGGCGTTCTGAAATGAGGTGCAAGTCGAGGGCCATGTTGTTGTCGTTGACCTCGGGGTCATATTGGATCACCCTTCGGGTAGGAAGGGTGACTTCCGTAGGAGCTTTGGCTTCAAAACCGTAGCAGAGGGAGAATGGTGTTTCACCTGTAGCGCGCCGAGGGGTAGTGCGGTAGGCCCAGAGGATGTTGTGAAGTTCTTCCACCCAGCCATCACCCTCGGCCTCCAGCTTCTTTTTGAGGCCCTCGAGCAAGGTCCGGTTGGCGTTCTCTTCTTGCCCGTTGCCTTGAGGGTAGGCAACGGAGGAGAAGGTGTGTTTGATGCCCCATGCCTCTAGAAGGGCACAGAAGGGGCTGCCTCAAATTGTGTCCCATTGTCGGAGATGATCTGCTGGGGGACGCCAAACCTTGTGAGGATGTTCTTGAGGACGAAGTGACGGCACTTTGCCTCTGTGATGCTGGCGAGGGGTTCAGCCTCCACCCACTTGGTAAAATAGTCGACGGCCACAATGATGTATCTGTTGTTGGAGGTACCCCTCGGCAGAGGGCCCACAAGGTCTATCCCCCATCGAGAAAATGGGACAGATGTGCTGATGGGGGCATAGTTGACCGCTGGCCTGCCGGGGGCTTTCTGGAAGTGTTGACATGCGTTGCACCTCCGGGCAAGGTCAGCACAATCCCTGGCCATGGTTGGCCAGAAGTAGCCCTGGAGAATGAGCCTTCGGGACATGGAGAAGGGTCCCTGGTGAGCTGAGCAAGTGCCACTGTGCACTTCCTCCATTGCGACCTCGGCTTCATCTGGATGAAGGCACCGAAGTAGCGTGCCATTGTAAGATCGTTTGTAGAGCCTTCCATCTTCGATGGTGTAGCTGGGAGCCCTCAGCTTTGCTAGTTTAGCGCGGGCCTCATTCTCGGGTAGCTGCCCTGTGGAGATGAAGGCGGTGATATCTGAAATCTAATCCTCCTGACGTTGTTGTATGTTCATCACGGGGCTTGCATGGATGCTTGAGAGGCTGAGTTCCTCGATTTTGGCAATCTTGGAGATGTGCTCGGGGGAGTCTGCCGAGAGAGTTTAGATAATATGTCGGCCTCGGAGTTCTGAGCCCTCGGTATTTGAGTGAGAGAGTGTGCCTCAAATACCTTAAGCAACTCCTTGGCCGCTTCCTTGTACTGTTTCATTCTTCCTTCCTTGGCCTCATATTCTTCGGAGATTTGGCCAACGACCAACTTGGAGTCGCATTTTATGTGGATCTGCCGAGCCCTCATGTTGGCAGCCAGCCGAAGGCCACATAGGAGGGCTTCATATTCGGCCTCATTGTTGGAGACTTTGAAGGAGAAGCGGATTGCATAGTAGGCCCTGAAGCCCTCGGGAGAAATGAGGACTACCCCTCCCCCTCATGCTTTGGTCGCGGATGAGCCGTCAGTGTAGAGGGTCCACCAGTCGTCCGAGGTAGCCGAGGGCTCCCCGTCCGTGGCTGCCCTTGCGGTGCATTCCGTCACAAAGTCCGCTAGGGCTTGGCCCTTGATGGCAGGCCTTGGACGGATGTCAATGTTGTACTGGCTCAAGAAGATAGCCCATTTCACCATGCGGGAGGAGCTGGTGGGGCTCCTCATGAGGGGGCCGAGGGGTTGATGGGTGAGGACCTGAACCGGGTGAGCCTGAAAGTAGTGGCCCAACTTCTTGACAGTTCAAACGATGGCTAACACCGTTTTTTCCACAGGGGAGTACCTGAGCTCGGCCTCCCTTAGGGTCTTGCTAACATAGAAGATGGCATGTTGGATGCCGTCTTCCTCCCGAATGAGCACAGAGCTGATGGCCGCCGGGCTAACCCCAAGGTAGAGGTAGAGGGTCTCCCCTACCTTGGGTTTGGAGAGCACAGGAGGTGAAGATAGATATCTTTTGAGCTCGTCGAAAGCCTCCTGGCATTCCGGAGTCCATAGAAAGCCCGCCGTCTTCCTCATGATCTGGAAGAAGGGTAGAGATTTCTCCGCCGATTTAGATAGAAAACGGTTGAGGGCTGCCAGGCGGCCCGTCAACCGTTGGACTTCCTTCACATTGCGTGGGGGCTCCATATTGATGATGGCCTGGATCTTCTCGGGGTTGGCCTCAATACCCCTTCGGCTCACCATGTAGCCTAAGAATCTGCCCCCTTGGACGCCGAAGGTGCACTTCTTCGGGTTTAGCCGAAGGTTGAATTTTTGCATGATGGCGAAGATTTCCCGGAGGTCGTCAGCATGGCTGGAAGATTGCTTGCTCTTGACGATCATGTCGTCGACATAGGCCTCCATGGTGCGCCCTAGGACGGCTTGAAAGACCCGGGCCACCATCCGGGTGTAAGTGGCCCCCGAGTTCTTTAGGCCGAAGGCCATCACTAGGTAGCAGAAGATGCCCTCGGGAGTCATGAAGGCAGTTTTTTCGGCGTCCTCCTCGTGCATGAAAATTTGATGGTACCCTCGGAAGGCATCGAGGAAGGACATGATCTCACACCCTGCGGTCTCATCCACCAATTGATCAATGTTTGGTAGAGGAAATGGATCCATAGGGCATGCTTTGTTGAGATCGGTGTAGTCCACGCACATGCGGAAGGTAGGGGGCTTCTGTGCGAGGACTACATTCGCTAGCCATGAGGGGTATTTTACCTCCTTGATGTGCTTAATAGAGAGGAGCATGGCGACCTCCTTCTTCACAAATTCCCTTCTCTCGGCGGAGAGGGGTCTTCTTCGTTGTTGCACCGCTTTTGCCGAAGGGTCCACCGAGAGGCGGTGGGTGATGACCCTTCGGCTGATTCCCGGCATGTCCTCCGGCCCCCATGCAAAGACAGTGGAGTAGGCGCGGAGGGCGTCGGTGATGCCGGTCTTCAAATCTTCAGGGAGCTGGGCTCCAATCTTCACGACTCTCTCCGGCTGGGCCGGATCGAGCGCAAAGTCTTCTACGTCCTCGGCCGGTTCAGCCCTCGGCCTTCTTTCCTCTTGGTCGACGGCTCCGGTGATGGTGTCAACACGGAATTCCGTCTTGCTGACCTTCTTAGTGACCTGAAGGTAGCAGGCGCGGGCAATTTTCTGGTTCCCCCGGGAGTAGCCAATGCCCCCCTCGGCGGGAAACTTGAGGCAGAGATGCCTCATGGAGATGATGGCTTCGAGGTCCTCGAGGGCTGGCCGGCCGAGGATGATGTTGTGAGCGCAGTCAATGTTGACGACGACGAACTCCACTTTGAGCCGGGCTCTGTGGATCCCGTCGCCGAAGATCACCGGGAGGGTTATTACCCCCTCGGAATCAATAGTATCGCCGGTGAAGCCGGCAAGAGGGGTCTTAATGGGCCGAAGGGACCCCCTCTCCAGATGCAGCTCTCTGAAGGTGCTGAGGTACATTACATTGACGGAGCTGCCCGTGTCAATGTAAGTGCGGTGAATATTACGGGGGTATATATCCGAAGGGTTATTACGGGGAATAACTTAGAGAGAAGTCAGAGCAAGTAAATATATATAGAGAGAGTGTACTACAAATGTGGAGCGTTTTCAGCGTGGTTACAAATGGGGAAATGGGGTGCTATTTATAGCAGCAATAAATGCCGGGCAGGGACACGTGTCAAGCGCTCATTGGCCGAGGGGTCACCTCAACTGGTTGGCGCTGGCAGCTGCATGTGGCCGCATTTAATGCGGCTGTTGGATGGGACGTCTGTGCAGAGTACGGTGATCTGTACGCATGTGAGGCGGATATCTTGTCGAGTGAGATGCCTTCGGCCATAGAGTAGTAGCCGAAGGCTCTTCCACCCGAGGGCACCTTGGTGCCGAGGGCTCACAGTACCGAGGGCTACTGTTTTCGCCATTTTCTCCCAGTTTCTTAGTTTGCTTGAGAAACCCGTTCTGTGAGAATTTGGAGCCTTCGGCCAGGGGGCCGAAGGCACCCCTGTGCGTTGTGCGGAATTCTTGGTACTCCGGGCGCTGTAAATTGGGCCTGTTGGGCCTTTTGGGCCTGTTGGGCCTTTGCTGGAGTAGTAGGAGTCCGTGGGCCGGGGGTTCCCGGGCCATATACTCCATCATATAAACACTTAAAATGATAAATTTGAATTTTTGAATATCAACAACCACAAGAAACACTAAGAAAAAATAAAAAACAAAAAAAAAATCAAAATTATCAACAAAAAGAAACACAATGAAACTCAAACTACAATATGAAACAATTATTAATTATTAAATTGTGTAAAAAAATAGTATTAAATTACAAATTTATATATTTCTTCAATTCTTTTGATTTTAATTTTTTATATTTTTCGTTTTTTAACAATTTTTTTATCAGCTTTATTTAATTTTCCGCGATTTTTAGTTTACTCTATTTTTCTTATTTTTAATAAATTTTAAGAATCATATTTTTTTTATTTTACTCAAAAAAAAATTAATTTAATTTTTTCGAATGTTTTAGAATTTTATATATTTGCTCTTCCAATAAATACTTATAACTAGTGTTCATATTTTGAAATAGTTTGAAAACAATTTTATATTAATTTACATATTTTTTATAATTTTTATTTATTTATAAGTTTTCGCTTTTTTGTAGTTTTTATTTGTATTTATTGTATTTTGTTACCTTTTTAAACTTAAAAAAATGATTTATGTTTTTCCACTTTTTATACTTTTTCATATTTTTATTGTACTTTGTTACCTTTTTTACCTTTTTAAAGTTTTAAGTTAGCTCCAGAATGCATAACTTTTTATTTTAGTTATTTTTTCCGATTTTTTTTAGATTACGAAATTTCTGTGTGTAACTATGGAGCATAGAGTTGGTACATGGATGAATTTTCAATCTTTCATGTGCAATCCCTTCAATCCGTAACTTGACATGTGAGCTTAGGGGTCATGGTCTATTATTGAAAAGGAAATCTTTTCTAGTTCATTTTTGAAAGAAACTTTGAAAGGTGAAAAAAGTGATATTACTTTCATTTGTAGTCTCTTTGTGTAAAATTCCCAAAGATAATTGATTGGACCTGCCGTTTAGGAATGAAGTCACTGAGGTTAATAGCCAGCCCAAGAACCGTTCAATCGTTAATTTCATCCGCAGGGAAGACCGTGCTCGCAAGGAGGGGCTGAAGTAATCCCTGTGTCGCTGCTCGCTGGAGTCCCTTGTGGACGAGTAAGTTCCCGCCGTCCCTGTCGGAATCAAACCGGCTGCCTTGGCTGTCTTACCGTTGTCTGGCCGGGAGACCAAGAGTTGGGCGACGGGTCCGTGATTTGGGGCCGATGGGGACCAGGGACGACGGGGTGGACGAGGGTCCGCCGACTTGGCCGGCGATGGTAACCAGGGACGACGGGATGAAGAGGGGGTTGCTTCTCTGGCCGAGGGTCCGCCGATTTGGCCGCCGATGCGCCGCCATTGCATGGGTGTCCGTTGTTTGACCGAAGTGATTCGGATTCTGAGTGACCGATGTGACCTGGGACGAAGGAGCTTAGTGGCAACTCTCTCTGTTTTTCCTCTGATTTGAATTTTGGCAGAAGCGCGGAGTGTTGGCCGAAGTGGGGGCCTTGCTGGAGGATGTGTGTTTGTTTATCCGAGGTGGCGTCCTGATTTCTGTGGTTTAGCCGAGTGGCTCTGGCCTTTGAACAAAAGGTTGGTAGAGGTCGCTGCATTTAGACAAGGGACAATTTGGGGTGTCCGCTTTCTTGGACGAGAGTGAAGTCTGGCTGAGGCGTTGTTTCTCCACCAATGGAGCCAAAGTACAGTTTGACCGAAGTGTTGCCATTTACATGACATGTTATTGTTCGGGAGGATCTCATTTGATTTGTTTTAGCTCTCAATGAAAGCAACATTTGATAGATTAATTATCTAGAGAGAAAGGAGAGGTAGAGAGATAAAGTGATATATATAATGAATTTCCAACCCTTTACATGGCTCCATAGGGAGTATTTATAGGAGAAAAGTGGGCTGAGCTTCCAGGCTTGGGCCTGGCAGACCCAGTTACATTAAAAGATCAATAAATGATTAATAAATGATGTTTAATCTATTCTAATGGGTACAAATGAATAAATAGAGTGTTCAATGAGATAAATGCTATCTACTGAACGTACGTGGGCCGCTGTCCGGGCCTAATAGTCGTGAGACCCGGGGTCCGAGTCTATATACTTTATCACACATAATTGATAAGTTGCACGAAAGACTTTATTTATAGAGTGAATACGTACACACGGTTCTATAGTAAACATTTGATTTATATGAAAATTATGTATTTGCTCCGTCAATACATTTTTTCCGTACAACCTAGCAACTGTTAATATATTTATTGAATAATTTTATTTTTAAATACAGTATTGTCAAACTGTGCCAAATAGTGTACTCTACAGTAAAGTCAAATTTATTTCGTTAATATGTGTGAAGTAAAAGTGTAAACTTCATTAAGGACCGGAGGGAGTATATATTTATGTCTTGGTCCATACAATAAAGGATTTGCAATAACGTTATTTTGTTGGGATTGGTGGGCTGTGCGATGCATAAGTAAAAGCCGTGAAAATGCGAGTTTTGTGTTGATTGTTTGAATCAATGCATGCAAAGTTTTGTTTGGGATTTTTCCAGTGTAGCTATTTGAATGATTATAGGCATAAGTGTATACATATCAGATATTGTTATGTACGTATGGTCAAAAAGGTGCTGAATACCGTTTTTGAAAAAAAAACGGGATAACATACCAGGTCGTTTATGTGCTTATGTGGATATACATATTTGTATAATTGGTGCAGATTGTACCTGGTAGGCTTGGGAAAACATGCAATGTATGGTGCATGAGTTTGTGCATGAATTAGGAAAACCTGTTTCTTAAGCTAGTTTGAACCTACAAAGGTTTCTCAAGCACTACTTGATCCTGATTGGGTGATTGCAATGCAAGATGAACTTAATCAGTTTGAAAGGCTGGACGTATGGACACTCGTGCCTAAGCCACAGAAGAAAACAATTATTGACACAAAGTGGATATTCAAGAACAAGAGAGATGAAGAAGGGATTGTGGTGCGTAACAAGGCAAGACTGGTCGCGGATGGATACAACCAGCAAGAGGGCATAGGCTACGATGAGACATTTACACTCGTAGCAAGAATTGAAGCTATATGTCTCTTTCTTGCATACGCAACACATAAGAACTTCACCGTCTTTCAGATGGATGTGAAGACAGCTTTCCTGAATGAAGTATTGGAAGAACAGGTCTATGTTGCTCATCCAGAAGGATTCATAGATCCCAGATATCCTGACCATGTGTACAAACATAAAAAGGCGCTTTATGGACTGAAGCAGGCACCAAGGGCCTGGTATGATGCTTTAACTGAATTTCTGGTTGATTCAGGCTTCTCAAAGGGAAAGATAGATACGACACTCTTCATCAAGCGACATAAGACTGATATCACACTGATTCAGATCTATGTCGATGACATTATCTTTGCCTCTTCGAATCCACGACTGTGCAAAAAGTTTGAAGAACTGGTGAAAACCAAGTTTGAGATGAGCATGATGGGAGAATTGAATTTCTTCCTAGGCCTGCAGGCACGACAGCTACCAGACGGCATTTTCATAAGCCAGTCGAAATATATTCTGGAAATGCTTAAGAGGTTCCCTATGTCCCCATGTTTGAGATCAACATTGACGGCAAATCTTCCATGAAGATCCCTATGTCCCCCAATAACAAACTGGACTCAGATCCCCCAAGGAAACCAGTTGATGCCACAAATTACAGAGCTATCATTGGATCTTTGCTTTATCTGACTTCTAGCAGGCCTGATATTGTATTCTCCACATGCTTATGTGTTCGATTTCAAGCAAATTCGAAGGAATCACATCTGACAGCTGTAAAAAGGATCTTGCGATAAATCAAAGGCACCGTGAACTTAGGCCATTGGTATACCAAGCATTCAGACTTTGACCTTGTCGGATACTCGGATGCTGATTTTGTTGGCTGTCGAATAGATAGAAAGAGTACTTTGGGAGGCACCCAATTCTTGGGTGAAAAGTTAGTCTGCTGGTCTTCCAAGAAGCAGAACTGTGTGTCAACATCTACAGCTGAGGCAGAATACGTCGCGGCTGCTAGTTGTTGTTCACCAATATTATGGATGAAGACCCAGCTCAATGACTATGGTTACACATTCCACCATATCCTGATCTACACTGATTCACATAGCGTAATCGCCATCACCAGCAACCCTGTTCACCGATCCCGCACCAAACACATCAATCTGCGTTACCATTTCATCAAGGACCATGTGGAGAAAGGAGATATTGATATGTACTTTGTAAGCTCCGAGTTTCAACTGGCTGACTTGTTTACTAAGGCACTGGACGACAAGAGATTCCAGTTCATAGTCTCCAAGTTAGGCATGTTGAACCTTCAGCCTATGTAATTTTATCTCCACCGGTGTGTACAAATGTGTGTGTGGGACTTGTAAATAGTGTGCGTGAGTTGCATGTGTTGAGGAGGAGAAAATCACAAAAAGAACAAAAATAGTGTGCATGTGTTGTATGTGTTCATAGTGTGCGTTGCATGTGTCAAGGGGGAGAAAAATCAGAAAAATTCAAAAAAACAGTGTGTGTGAGTTGCATCTGTATATTGAGTGTGTTGCATTCATCAAGTGGGAGAAAAAGCGAAAAATATCAAAAATAATAATAAGGGTGTGTGAGTTGCATATGTGAGTATTTTTATTTCACCCTTGCAATTTTCGAGTGGGAGCTTCGATTTATTTGATAGTTTGGGCCTCCAAAACGATTTTAAACTTTAATGGGCGAACTCCAGATTTTGGGCCCAATATCTTCTCGCAAGGCCCAAAATTGTTTCGTTTATAAAGGTTTTCGAGAACCCTGGAGTTCATCGTTCTCATTCTCTGCAACTTCGGTGCCCCAGACCTCTCTGTTCCTCTTCTCTCTTTTCGAAATCTTTCTTCCCAACTCGATTTGTTCTTCTCGAAATTTCTTCCAAAGGTAGTTTCTCATGATTTCGGAATCACTGCGTCTCGAACTGATAACATATTCTTCCCAAAGCTTTAACGAAAACCTTTCTCGAAATCATTTTTCAACGAAGAACTCGAAACGTTTTTTATTATCATTGTATATTTGTTTTTATGTAATTGCAGGTGGTTTTCGTCGTTAAACTCAGAGGCAAACTCGAGAATCAGATTCTCGAGGTTTGATTTTGAGTTCTCGATCTCGTCATTTCATCTTCGCGATCAAGATTTCGAGATTAAAATCTCGCGATCGAGATCTCGAGATTTAGATCTCGAGATTGTGATCTGGAGATTTAAACCTCGAGACCCTGATCTCGAGATTTAAACCTTGAGATCCTGATCTCGAGATTTAAACCACGAAATCTTGATCTCGAGATTTAAACCTTGACATCATGATCTCGAGTTTTAAACCTCGTAATCGTGATTTCTAGATTAAAACCTCGACATCATGATCTCGAGTTTTAAACCTCGAAATCGTGATTTCGAGATTTAAACCTCGAAATCGTGATTTTGAGATTTAATACTCGAAATCGTGATCTCGAAATTTTGCCTTAAGATTTTTTTGACAAATTCCACCTACATCCCATTTTTTTGAAAAACTTCACAAAAACATCAGAAACATTCAGAAAAAAACCAAAAAAAAAGGATTAATGTGCTGACTCCATTCTTTTCAGTTCATTATGTCAGGCACCACTCAAGCAGCCCTTGACGACACAATTTATCCAAAGGGGGGCTGGATCAAAGTGATCGACAACAACTTTCAGCTTGACTTCAAAGTACTCAAATGCGAGGACCCCATAATCCCGGCACTATCTCTGGACCGCCTTCAATAAAGCTCACCCGGTACCAGAGATATACTTACAACAGTTCTGGGGGCACATGCACACCGAATCAAAGAAGGATCGCTCTAAAATTATGACCAAGCTCAACAACATGAGAGTGATCCTGACGCCATCGACGCTACGGACCACATTAGAGCTGCCGGCACATGACTCCTATGACCCTCTTCCAGCTGTTAAAGATATGCTCAAGGACATAGAGAGTCTGGGATATGATTCACTGCTCCCTCAATTATCCAACTTCTGTGGGGCCAATCTCAGACACCCATGGAAGAGCCTCTTCGGTTTGGTCAACCAGTGCCTCTCACCAAAGCATGCCGGCTTCGACAAGTGCAACAAGCAAATCCTCCAGATCTTCCATGGCATTGCATTCAATCGAAAATACGCCAGGGCCGCACTATTCTTCACTGAACTTATGGATCTCGTGAAGGCCAAGGAAAACAACAAGAGGGACATCGTTCCATATGCCAGATGGCTGAGCCTAATCATCCACGAAACCATGACGACACATCATGCCATACCTCAACGCAACAATGAGCCACACTTCGCAGCCCCTAAGTTCCGATACTTCAAGCAGGACAAGGATGTTGAACCTGGAACGAGAATCCCGGACTACTTGCTGAATCTGGTCAATCCAAAGAATCCAGTCGTGGCTCAGTACAAAACCGATCTTGAAAGAACAATCCCTATGGTTCAGCAAAACCCACCTGGACCTACCCGGGGACTAAACCGAGTGCATGTGAGGGTCCAAATAGAGCCCCAAAGCCACAGAAACCAGTGGCATGTCGGCCCTATGAAGGAAAGTCTGTCGACTCTTCCGAGAGAACTCAGACGACTGAGGGCACACCGACGAACGCTGAGGAACCTGCCGATGAATCGCTCAGCCCTGACGATGAGGCATCCGATAGTGTGGCCATCCAAAGTGATGATGAGGACGATGATGATGATGACGATGATGGTATTGAGGCTACCTACGCCCTGATCCGCAAAGGGAAGATGATTGTTGAGCCTCCCAAGAAGATCACTGCTGAAGAGGCACAAGCGGTTCTAGGCATTCGCCCCAAGACTTTCACCATAAATGAGACTCCGCAGTCACAGAGTGTACACGATGAAATCAACCGATCCAAATCGGATTATGATGAGGGCGACCATGTGGTAAAAAATTCTGAAAACATCGTCATCAGAGAGAAATGTGCAAAGCTGAAAAACGATGTTCCTCCGTCATCCAAGCTTGCAAAGAAACGCCTCGTCACAAGGAACTTAATAGACGAGGACGACATGACTATTTTTGCCGATTGTGACCCATTCATCCACATAAGCCGAGCCACATCCCTAAGTACAGGAGCCAACCTTTTCGGTTCCCGAGTAGAAGCCGCAACATCAGGCTCAACTGCGCATGCACAGCCCTCTCCCAGCCACTCTTTAGCCTCCCAACATGCTAAAGTTTCACCACCTTGGGATTTACTCACCTCTCTGGTCTCTTCTGGATCAGTTGAGCAAACTAGTGGGCAACCGCCTAAGACCACAACCCCTCCTTCGCACACATCGAGTCTAGGTGTCACTTCCTAAATTTTCTGATTTTTCTGGGACACCTACACTTCTCACCGCACAGACAGATACACACACCCTGGATGTAACTTTTGCATTCGAACTATCAGCTTTAGCGCTCATCATTCTGTAAACAGTCCACGGTATATCAAAGAGGGTTTCACCGATCATCTGCTTCATATCATTATCTGAACTCTTGTTTGTATTACTGTAATACCATTTCATTGCTGTTAGATCTTTATCATTGAATCAGGGACCAACATTGGTCTATCCATTATCCATATCAACTCCATAAACAAATGGACCACTAACCAACTATATATTTCTAGGGGTGGGCGCGGTCCGGAACGGTCCGGTAAACTAGTAAAACCCGTAATGTATCCGCTAGGTTTTTAACGGTCTGGTATGGTCCGAGTTCAAGGATAGAACCGTTCGGTACCATGCCGTTTCGGAAAGGTACAAAACGGTACGGTACAATTCCAAACACATGTTAAAAAATTTGAACAAATCTTGCAATTGGTAGATATCTTCACACCAACCAACTCAAATGAAATATTGATATAAATACAAGAAATTGCATATGTAGTACTAAAATTCACAAATACACAAATAGTGCAACACAACTAAGAAAAAGTATAGCAAAATGATGACGCACGAGATAAATATCATCTTTAATTTACTAAGTTCATGTGAAAATATAAAAAAGAATATCATCAAATTGTTCAATATAATAGAAATCTTCAATGTTCTTCTTCTTCTTCTTCTTCTTCATTCTAGGTTTAATATTACATATTAATATCTAATTTAATTTATAGTTGAACCTTGAGAGTTAAGATTTAAACCATATTAATTAAGTTTTAAAATTGCGCAAACATGATACCACAAAAAGTCATTTACACTACATTACTAGAAATGTATAGTCCTTAATGATTTCTAAGATTTTAATATTATTTCAATACATATCAAAATCTAACATAAATTATCTAAAAAGGAAAAATAACAATATATATATATATATATATATATATATATATATACATATATATAATATAAACACACACATTTAGCTAGTTTAGGAACGCATGAATACATATGTGGGCTATAAAATTGTTTGTCTATAAAAGAGATCTATTGGTATAGATAAATTATAAAAAATTCAAATGCATTATTTTCGAACGGTTCAGTCCGGTATTTTTCAGTTCTCAAAATCTAAGACCGGTCCCGTACCCGTTTCAAACGGTTCGGTTTCGGTACGGGACAAAAATCTATAGAACCATTTAAATACCCAGTATTCAGTTCGGTACCATTACGGGACGATTCGGTACCGGTTTGGTTCGAGTTTTATGCCCACTCCTATATATTTCCACATCATACCCTCCTTACCCTTTACTCCCATACCAGAGAACCTATCACACACCCTTCTGGCTGACAACATTTTTGGGAAGTCAACCAGTTCACAAAGGGATCAACGAAGGTTCAAAAGAGATTCAATGATATAAAGGGAGAAGAGAGCAATCAATATCATGAAACAAACAAAGATCTAATGATTTCATTATTCATCAAGTGACAACTGGTGTTTATGAATATCAAAAGACTATTGTGGGTTTCTCATGGTATCATAAGTGGTACTACTGCTTTTAAAGGAAAGGGAGAACCAACAAGGCAAAAAGATGATGGAAGTATTGAGTTAAATAAAGAGGTCAAGACTGCAAATAAACAAAATGAAATTCTCAGATCATTAACACAACTAATTTTAATGATTTAAAGAATTATCTATTGAGCACACGCTAGTCTATGACAGAAGAAACATTCTGTTCTCAAGAATGTCATCAAAGATGTGCTCACTAGAAAGAAGAGATTCTCAAGATAGTAAGCTCCAAGCTGCTTGCTGAAAATTTGCTGACAAAGGAATCAGTTGAAAAGATCTTCTTCTCCAGCCACCAGGTATAAGTGGATGTATCAAATGATGTTCAATCCCAATCAGAATGGCCTTATTCAAAGAAGGACTGAACCAGCATCAACAACATCACACAAAGATTGTTAGGATCATATTGCACTGAAGGTAGATTTTGATGATGTCTACCAGAAGGAGACGATAACAAAGGATCCTAGCGCATCTAATTCTCAAAGGCAAGAGCTTAAATGTTGAACAACCTTAAAGAAGGAATATATATGCCAGAAAACCATAAAGGTACTCCTCCTCATCACAGTAAAATACCAATTGGTATCATCATCTGATATCAATTGAAGGACATACAACTCAGGGTGAACTACTCAAAAGTTTTAGGCAAACATTATTACATTCATCTTGCTTATGAGAAGAATATCATAGATTGAGGGGAAACTTCTTCACCTCAATAAAAACTTAAGGAATGGACTCTCTAATTCAAAAGGAGCACCCTACTATTTTGTAGAGTCTTGTTTTTAATAAGAGCATCTTGCAAGTGTTCTATTAAAAATAGGACCAACCTACTAAATAGCAGCGTTCTAATTTAGGAGCACCCTGTTAAAAAGCTAGATCATGCTAATAACAGTATCATAAGAATGTCCATTACTAAGTTTACAAGTCAAGGACTCAATCATCAACACAGGGGAATGCTCAAAAAGCTTCAAGAGGATACGCTCAACCAACAGAATTGAGGATTATTCAGATGAAGATGAGTGATGAAAAGGCATTAGCAAACTCTTAAATCACAGGCTGAAACAAGTGCCTACAGGATTTTTGAGCAACAAAGAAATGTTTGCTAAAATGATACTTAATCTTTCAAAAGTATTCTAGGCTTCAATTGCAAACTAATCAACTCCAATTGACAAAGTCCAGAAACCAGATGACTTGACTAACTCTGAGGATCAGGTGGGATTTGTTCATTAAAAACAAATCAATATGGTCTACCAGAAGGAGACGTTCAAATGGAAAATTAGTTATGGTTTACCAGAAACTCTAGAAAGAAGAAAAGAAGAAGGATGATGTCAGCAAGAAAAGCACCAAAACCGAATCCTTAAAAAAAAATTGGCTGCCTGCTGAAACCAACAGAAATACCTCAAGCTTCTGTTGATGAAAGAGAACACCAAAAGCAATTTTGTCAAGGAACAGAAATCCTGGTCAAATAGAAAGAGGTTCTGTTGAAACACTAGCTCCCAGTTTACATTAATGAGCATGAGAGCGGATTATCTTCAATCAAATCAAAGGAAAGGAAGCACGAAGAATTTATGGTTACATGCAAAATCCTACAACGACACATGGTGATCAAGCAGCTGACTCATTCAATAATGTCAAGATCATGGCAACCGCATTAATAAGTCAAGTGAGTTTCTCAATATCTCACTCGCTTATCGAAGTTGCTTTTTGCTAAGAAAAGAGAGACAGTCGCAAGATCATTAATGAAACGCTTCGATTGTCGCAAAGCAATTGAATGCAAACTGAAGCATGTTAGCTATAAATACACTCGTTGCTTCAAAAGTATGCCTCACTCTCAAAAGCTCATCATCCTCAGAAAATTCCCACGAAGCACCATCATGTTAAAATGAATACCTCACGCAATAACATATCCCTTGAACTCACTCTCGCACCTCCATCAGCGTCACGAAGTAGACCTCCCACAATCATACCAGATGATAAATTCATTAACATTGAATCAAGAATCTATCTGGCTGGGAAAGGGAGTTATTACTTCAAGAACGAATAAGAGTGCTAGAATCGAGAAAATGGCAAATGTCCTCCTTTGATGAACTCGTCCTCAATGCACCTACGATGGTGAAAGAAGAAATGTTTGCTCTAGGCTGGCTGCAAACACAGAACATTGAGACTGCACTCTCAATGGAAGTTATTAACAGAGCCTATCACTCCAAACGTGAAGACCTCGAGGAAGCATGTGAGAGATGTAAAAAGAGGAAGGTGGCCGACATCCTCCATGGAAGACACCAGGAGTAGATAGTCGTTGCTTTCAAAAGGGGGGAAAATAGAAACAAACACTTAGGATAAATTTTTCTATTTTTAAAGTGTTTGTATTCTAGGTTTTGGCATCATCAAAAAGGGGAAATTGTTAGGTTCCATATATTTTGATGAACAAGTATTGTTTTGATGATGCCACCCCTTTTGTATGTTATCCATGTAATATACTAGCACTTGTATTTGTTCTACTACTGTTTAAAATAAGTGCTCAATAGTGATCAAGTAATCTTATCTTGAGGAAGCATTGAATGGGTATTTTCTCCATAGTAACTCAAATGTATTTCAAGTGCTTGTATTTGTTCTACTACTGTTTAAAACAAGTGCTCAATAGTGATCAAGTAATCTTATCTTGAGGAAGCATTGTGGGAGGTCTTCTTCGTGGTGCTGATGGAGGTGCGAGAGTGAGTTCAAGGGATATGTTATTGCGTGAGGTATTTTATTTTAAGATGATTGTGCTTCGTGGGAATATTCTGAGGATGATGATCTTTTGAGAGTGAGGCATACTTGTGAAGAAAAAATATATATATTTATAGCTAACATGCGTCAATTTGCATTCAATTGTTTATCGGCAATCGAAGTGTTTCTTCATTAATAATCTTGCGGCTATCTCTCTTTTCTTAGCAAAAAGAAACTTCGATAAGCGAGTGAGATATTGAGAAACTCACTTGACTTATTAATGCGGTTGCCTTGATCTTGACATTAATGAATGAGTCAGCTGCTTGATCACCATGTGTCGTTGTAGGATTTTGCAAGAACTACGAGAACACCGCTGAGATGCAGCCCATGCAAATTCCTGATGCTCTACTCAACCTTGTTGCTCCAAATGATCTGCATACACTGATACAGGCTCATTACCTTCTGTCACAACAACCAAAGGTTCGCCAATGACGGTTGGAAATCCTACCACACTATACTCCCCAGCAAGCCATGGCACCACTATTCATATAGGTTAGAATTCTCTTCATTAGCTAGTTTAACTAGGGAGGATCTAAGGTCTGAACTTCTAGCCTTCAAGCTTTCACTTTTACAAGACATGCGTCCTGTAGTCCCAACAGGCGTAGCAGGCCAAAGATCACACCCAACTCCCTCCATAGGAACTCTTTCATCATCCATTACACCAATTACCATCATACCCTCATCTACTATATCCACACCATCTACGTCACACCCTGACCCATCCCATATGAACATTATTGACTTATCCGAGTTTTTCTACACATACTCCTATGTGAACAAAACCATCCACCCCACCTTATCCAAGTACGTGACATCCTAACCCTCTCACCCCACCATCATTCACATTTTTTAGTTAGATTTTTATAAGAGTTGCTTTTTGGAGAGCACAGTACGATAAAAGTTGTAAGCTGTGTTTGGGGGGGAGTTATTATCTATGCTTGGCCTATTAAGTCAGGGACCTTAGAGGCGGTGGTTTACCCTGCGGCGGATGTCAGCGGTTCGAGCCCGCTTATCTCCACAACTCCTTAATTTAGTCTATCGTAACCTACCACCACTTTTCGTGATCAATAACGCTTGCCTAAGCGTAAGCATGATGACACCGATGATTTGGATCATCATGAGGGGGAGAGGCAACGTACTTGTACCTTTAACTTGAACCTTCAGTCTCAACCTTCAACTTTCACTATAGCAAATGACTCACTAGCCTTAACCATTTTTCACCCTTCCGAACCCATAAATACTGAGCCAGGACTTT